TCAGAAAAGATAATGCGGCAAAATGAGCATCAGCACCACTTCATCATGTTGTCACAAAATTTAATCCTGAGATCAGGATGATTTTCGTTCAATCCATGCACAAAAGTCATTTTGTACGGATGCCATTTATGTTTTTTCAAGTAGGTACTTCACAACAAAAGATTGACTGATTTCATTATCAGCAGTCAACACTCGTGTAGTGCGGATTTTCCTGAAATTGCAACAGCATATTATTTAATTGTAATTCTTCAGGCTGGCTTCGGTGGTGTCGTTCATCGTTCCTAATATATCCCCTTACAGAAAAATTCGTTTAAATTTCAGTTTTTTGTTCTCTTTAGTAACGAACCATTTTTCACTAGATCGTATACAGCCATGTACAAAAATTTAAAATAATAAATTATCGTTGGTTGCCTGCTGCGCCGCTATGTGTGCGTGTATCACAGTGACACAACGTCGGTTCATTTTATATAATTAGGATAGGAACAGGTCAGGATGCAGAAATGAAAAACATAACTAAAACTGGTAAATAAAAATAGACTATATTATGAATATATGAATAAAAATCCAAAAATTAAGGAGACATTTAAAAACCAACTTTTTAGTAATAATAAAATAACAAATTATTGGCAACAAATCAAAAGGTTTATGCATTAAAGTGAGTGAGTCAGGTGACTCCTAAAGGATCGAGACCACACCCAAATTTAAGCGGTTGTCGATTGCGTATCTTTCTCGATTATCGTCTATCATATTACCCTAGAAACATTTGAGCAATCATTCGGATGATCATTCGATTGTTGAAATATTCGATTACCGATTTTCCGATTATTGAAATCATTCGATTATACCCATGACTAGTCTCTAATTGACTGTCGTGAATTTGTCACAATGGCAGCAATGCATTCCATGCTCTTCCTTCTTCCCTCTAGTTCAAAGAACGGTGCTTCCGTATGTTGTATGCAGATATAAAGACACGATATAGGGATTACGTTGCGTTTGATTAAAGAGGTCTCAAAATTTTTACTTCTTTTACGAACTAATGAAAGTTTAGTAGCCATAAAAATTTTCGACCTCGTGATGTCAATAGAATTACGTGTTTGAGACCCCTTGATAGTTTTGGCGATGTATCTGTTTTGGCCCTAGTGATTTAAGCTATCAACATGAAATTCCCTACTTAGGCTTTTGGATTATCCGCAGGAACTTACTCGATTTTGTTTAACCTATCATCCATAAATGACGGCTTATTGCCGTTCATTTCTCTGTAACTTAAAAAAAAACAAATAATAAAAAATGAAAAAAATTAAGGTACAATGCTGACACCTTTTCTTCGTCCAAATGATTATTAAATAATAATTTTAATGTTTACCCTTTTTAACTCCAAAAGTTTCTTAGTTCTTGATTTCAATGGTTACTTTATAAGCGCCTTTGAATTAACTAATCCTTATAACTCTTGCCAATGCTGGAGAGTTCCTTTTGGCCCAGGTTAAGATAGCCATCTTGGCAGTACTTGAGGATATGCCAAATATCGGTTAGGGTTCGATAATTCGTGATTCTCCCCCTTCTCTGGCCAAAGAATCGGCTTTCAGATGAGAGTGACCGTTTATCTAGACTAGAGCCAAGTTACCGAAAAAAATATCAAAAAACTGAAAAATGGGAACAGATTTTTGGTACAATGTAAGATTTTTTCACAATACCGTCCCGCTGTCTTGTCAAATTGTATTTAAACATATTTGATAATTATGAAGGTAATTATTAGGTAACCCAAGGCATAGATGTCCAAAATATCATTAATTATATGTTTTGAATTATCTCTATTGTACTAAGAAAAGCCATAAGTGGCACGTGCTTCCACCCAAACCGGACAGTGGATGAGCGGACCTACTCGAGTCACCATCTTGACAAAGGGACGTAACTGTGGATTCCGTATATCTATGGTTAGGTTCTTGTGAGTTGGTCCTTATTGGGCCCTCCACTGTGGCCATCAGCTGGCCTATTGTGGGTCACTCCTACTTATATTCCACCCAATAAGTTCAGTCTCCTAATGAAACTGATAACTTTATTGAGTGAAAGTGTGTCCAGTTCCTCTGGAAGCAATTGTTAGGGTTTTCAAGTTTACCCTGTTTAACTCCAAAAGTTTCTTAGTTCTTGATTTCAATAGGTATTTTATAAACGCCTTTGAATTAACTAATCCTGGTAACTTTTGTCAATGCTGGAGAGTTCCTTTTAGCCCAGGTTAAGATATCCATCTTGGCAGTACTTGAGGATATGCCAAGTATCGGTTAGGGTCCGATAAATCGTGATTTTCACCCTTCTCTGGCCAAGGAATCGGCTATTTTGTTACCTTCCAGATGAGAGTGGCCATTTATCTAGACCAGAGTCACTTTATTATTTTTGCTTAAATGACTTAGAGCCTTCTGAAAGTTCCATACCGTTTTAGAGTTACACCGGTGGGAGCCAATAGCTTTTAGAGCGGCTTGGCTCTCTGAGAATTTTTTTATTGGCAGGTATGCAGAATGCATATATTCCAGTCTTCGCACACATATTTCAGTGGCATGAACTTCGGCCTCAAATATAGTTGCATTAGTACCTGGGCTTGAGGATATCCTCACCCTTGGTTTGTAACTATGTACTCTGTCTCCTGTTCCCTCGGGAATTTTGGAGTCGTCTGTAAACCAGGAATTATCTGCCCTCAGTAGGTCGGCTTTATTCCGATCCCACTCCTCCCTTTCCGGAAAGAGGATATTAAAGACCTTCAATATCCTTTTTCTACTGTGCCTATCATGACCAACTACGAGCTGATCAGCTCGTAGATGGTCATGATAGGTATAGTATCCGAAGGCATTCCTAGGATTCTGTAACTTTCTATGTTATCCAGCAGTCTGTTCCGCTCCACGATACTAGCCTGCGGCATATTGATGGCCGCTTGTTTCAGTCTATACGTTGCCCACCTGGCTTCTCTCTCCAAATCTATATGAAAAGGGAGTAAGTCCCGGAGGATTTCCATTACAGCTGACGGTGTGGTGCTAATTGCCCCCGTTATGGTCAACCATACTAATCTCTTCAAACTAGAGTGTTTACCTTTGGCCGTCTATTGTGATTCTTTCAGCAAACAAACGATGGATCCTTATGTTACCATTGGTCTGACAACCGTGACATAAATCCAATAAATTTGTTAGGGACCCGTGCCGCAGGATTTACCACAAATTCGACAATATGCCTATAACAACAGCTTTGCTTTGTGGAGAACCCTTTCCAGATAGGAGTTCCAATTAAGTGATTTATCTAGAGTGATTCCCAGATGGAATAGTTTCACCCATAAAGGAATGCGGTGTTAAGTTCTCCAGGTTCCTTTTCCTAATAATTCCTAATATTACTGTTTTTTGAGGGCTCACAAACATCTGCTACCTGTCATACACATTGCTTAACTCCATCCAGTGTCTTTTGAAGAGTTTTAGATACTATTTCTTCAGTTTCCTCTAACTAGTCTGACTAGATCGTCTGAATATGCTATAGAATCTCAATCTTCCACACTGTGAGAATAGCCAGCAAGTCGTCTACAAGAAGTGACCACAGACTAGGGAAAGAATCCCACTTTACAGACATTCTCTTGTGACTCTAAAGCTAACTGATTTTCCCTGTAGAAGCGTTGTTACGGTTCTGTTTGATAGGCAGAGAGATTTATTTTTGAATTATCATACTAGGTAACTAAATTATATTTTCTAGATCTTCAAACTTATAATTAGAAGAATTATTCATGTGTGTTAAGAAAGAAAAAGAAAAATCAATCAATCAAGTCTACAGAATGTCATTTTCGCTTGGATTGTCCACATTGTACATACTTGTCAGAAATTAAATAAATTATTGTTCCATTTAAATATTTATATAAATACTTCAAACGACATTACTAGTCTAATTCAAGCAGACACGAAAACTTAAATTAGTATACTTAACCGGTAATAATAATACTATGATATTTTCTGTATAACAAAGTACAAAAGAAGCAATGCGGTATAGGTGCGACCTTGACCTACTGCTTACATTTTTTATTTAAGATTAATGTACCTACTTTCCTCTTCGTCGTGTTATGTTTAATCTCAATAATAGATCGATCTTCAGTAAAATTTATGTTCGAAAGAAAATATTTTCATTGTGAATTGTTTGTAAATGAGACAAAAATTTAAAAAATCTACCACAGGTAAATAAATATAAATAAAAGTACACTATATAGGGTGTCCCAAACTGATTGATTTTAGCTGCTTCTCTTGCTTCCAGACCAATTAGAGAATAACCGACCAAGGTGTAAAAGCTCGATTTTCGTGAAACGTCGATACGTGAAAACTGCATTTAGATATCTCTAACCGTTTTCGAGATATCGGCGAAAATTAACATTTAGCAAATTTCGAAAAAGTGCCATAACTTTATAGATATTTTTTCAAGCATCAAAAACTTTTTTAGAGGCAATTTTCAATACAGAATAATAAAATAAATAAAAAATTGTATCATTACCAAATTTTAAGATATCAAGTCCAACTTTCTTATTTCAAATAGAAATAATAATTGGCTTTGATATCAAAATATCGTAAGAGAATTTCAAATTTCAAAAATATTGTTGAGAATATATTATATTACCATCAGGAAATATCTCTTCTAGTGAAATAGTTTAAATTACGGTTGTGAGTGGAAGCTATAACCAGAGGATTCTAAGAAGCATAAATTCAAACCATATAAAGTTAGGCTTACTCATCAATTATTCCCTGGTGATACAAATCGCAGAACACATTTTTGTAATTGGTTCATTGGATCATTGGAAAATGTGACAAAAACGAAAGTAATAGTATCGGCATGATTGTTCTGGCAATTTTTAAACACCACAGGTAATGCAACCCTGTATCACTGAAGGTACACCAAGGCACTTGTGTGGCAGAGGGCTACACATTTAGAAATAATGAACAAACATCCAATGTCCGAGTATGCCAGGATTAATTTCTGATTTAGAAAAATACTAGCTCCTCGACCGGGGATCGAACCCGAGGCTCTAGGGTGAAAGGCAAATGTCCTTACTACTTGACCAGGAAGCCACATAATATGCATAACGAACATATTTTTCAACCAAGAAATATAGGGATGATTTGGATCTATAATATTTGACTCAAATAGTGGGATCATTACTGGGACCATTTATCTATGACGAAAATCTCAATGCTCAACGGTACAATCATATTTTAGAAGAATTTGTGGAACCATATCTTACCGACTTGCCCCTTCCGATCTATTAACAAAGTTCTATCAACAAAATGGCTCATCAGCTCATAACGCCGTGGTAGCCACCATTAAGCTCAATTAATTGTTTGGGAACGAATGGATGGAAACTCGTGGCCCCATACTATGGCCTGTAAGGATCCCTGAACTTGGTCTTTTGAATTTTTTTTATATGATTTTATATTGAGGGATAGTATCGCTTAAATAACTCTTAAATGCTGAGAAATCAGTTAAGAGGTGTCGAATTTGTCTCAAGAAAAATGGCGGACAATCCGAACTCTATTTGGAATTAAATATTGTTTCTGTTTGCTTCAAATAATAAAATTTCTTTCTTGTTTTAATACATTCATGTTATGTAACGGAAATTGCAATGCCGCAATGTCGTGTAGTTTATCATTTATTCACCTTAAGGATACTGTTTATAGGGAAGTAATCAACCACTATGCAAGAACGGATTATGAATGACTCCCGAAGTATTAAGAAGGGTGGAGAGTTTTTTTAAAGATCGCTTACGTCTATGTTTATAATCGCACGGAAGACATTTTGAAAATTATCTGTATTGTACTTTTTTTTAGTTCATTTTAAAATTAATACAGAACAAGTTCACAAGTTAATTGTGTATCTACTCATGTGAAAATATACAGGGTGTTCCATTTAAAAAAATATCGACTTACAATAAATGAACTAAAATATTTACCAACCTTCTGTAACAAAAGCAAGGAGGTCCTATCAAATAGCTAGTCCGACACTGTTTACCTACTACCTATTCTCACTCACTGCGAAATCGCAACTTTAGTAACATCCGTTTGAGAAAGACGATGACTATCCAAAGAAAGTGAAAAAATTCGATATAAAATACTACAAATAAATAATAATTATATAAGATGACTATTCAACTAATCAGTATGAAATATTCAGAACTAATTGCAGTTATAGTTTTACATATAATATACTAAAAAATGAATATCATATTTCTTAATTGGTGTGTAGTTTAATACACTGCGAAAATAATATCTTTTCATAATAAAGGTACAGGATTTTTTAAACGTTAATATTGCAACTCTATCAACTTCATACAAAATCTGTTTATGCAAAAATATGTAAAAAGAAACTATAAAATCCAATCAACATAATATCTGAAATTTTAATCCTAATAAGTCGCAAAAACATTTAGTCGATTTTGTAACAGTTTTTATAACACACTTCAGTAATTTACGTTCATTTTTTCAAATCATAGATGAAACTGCCTTATTGCAAAAGAAATTTGCTACGAGTATACTAAACAAACGAATATTACTTCATTCCTCAAATCACTATAATCAGCTGAAATTTGATTAAATTTATATCACCACATTATATACTTTTATGAAATGTATATTCATTATTTGACAAACCCTAAAATATTTATATCTATTTACCAACATTAAATATTTAACGCCTTAAATTTCACTACAAAACATCGTTAAATAACATTAACTGAAAAAATTACATTATTCCACATATTGACCTTTGAATAGCGACCTTGTTAATGTTCCTCCCGTTAATATATAAACTCTTAAAGGCGAAAGTTTAGGTGATATATCTCAGGAATCCCCACGCTTCTGAAGAATAAGACATATCTCCAGTAACCAACAAAATTTTCATCTGACGTCCACAGCGCATTTCACTTGGATACAAATTAAAAATTCTTTGCTAAGTTTTCGCGTCTTTAACCTCCGGAACGCTCAAAACAACTGATTAAATTCTTTTAGTGAAGATGTTGTGTAAAAAAGTGTGTTTATAGTAAACTATGACCCGATTTTAAAAAACGTTATAATATTGGTACGACATGAATCTGCGGCTAAAGAATGGATTGTTTATTTATATCTTTGGTATTTGTGTGAATTCTTGCGCCGCTTTGGATATTTTAGAAATTCTCTTGGGCCCAAGACTAGGTAGAAGTGTGGCCGCTTCTAAAAGTTTACGAAGATCTGCAGCGGTAAGTTATAAAATAATTAAAATTTTTAATGTGATTTTTAATAAATAAATAAATATATATATATATATATATATATATATATATATATATATATATATATATATATATATATATATATATATATATATATATATTGTATATATGCATGTAAGTGTGTATAAATATACACAGGGTGTTCCGAATTGAGTTGTAATATTTGCCAGTAGATTTTTTTGATAACAGTTAAGTGGGAGGGAGATTACACTAACGTGTGCATCAGCGTTTCGTTTTAAATATTCATAAAATACCTTTTTTCTGTAAAGGTATTTTCATCCATTTCGTCCTGTTTTAAGAGTATGAAAGAAACCACCACTAATTATTTTCCAAACAGAACTTCTTAAACTTTAAAAATGTTTATAAAAGAAAGAAAACCACTAAAGAGACTGATTTATTTATAAACTTCTTTGCCCCTTTTACGATTCTTATAAATTATAGTTGGAAAAAATACATTTAATAAATAAATTACCTGTATACATGGAAAAAATGGTCTACTAAAATTAAAATTAAAAAAAAAATCATTCCGAAAGTATTTCAAAAATTCAAATTCAAAATTCAAATTAAAAAAAATTCAGTTGTTTTTAAATTTTGAAAATCATTGTAGAAACATTAACAGTGTAATTGTTTTATATAACAGTTTAATAATTACCTAATCATCAAGTAATGCAAATGATTTAGATTTTTAGGAAATCCATGTTTTAATAAAAAAAATCTTAGTTTTTAAATTAATTTCAGTTTAGTGCTTTTGTCGATTTGTTAATACAATTTTTTGACAAAGAATTTTAAGGTTTCTTGTTAACCAAAATTTCCTATATTTATCATGAATAAAATATGATTTATTTATCAGATAAAACTTATCAAACTTTATATTTAAAATAAAAATGACAAATTGCTTAAACACAAATTATTTTTTCAAAATATGTATACAGTTTGTATCTAATAAATAAATCACCTTTTATCTACAGTAAAATGATAGTCAAATATTATTAGAAATAAATGTCGAAAATACAGAAATGAATTAGGCATTTGTTTGTCAAAAAAATGTATTAAGAAAAGTTGTTCAGGAAGGTGCCATTCGAAATTTGTTTAAAAATAAAAAATTCTATTAAAAATTTTCAATTTCCGAAAGAGAAAAACCGAAATCCAATTGCAATTCTTGGCAATTAATAGGATAATTGATGAACAAAATAGCTACTACATTGTTCATTTTTATAGAATGAGTGAAAAAGCCAATAACTAATTGAATTTTTTTGGTTTAGAATTTTTCTTATATTTTGTTTATAATCAGATTTGGATGTTGCCTTTTAAAATGATTCTGAACAACTTTTCTTAATAAATTTTTTAATAGAAAAATGCCAAATAAGATTTACGTATATGTATTTATTTTTAATTGTAGTAAGCCAACCACTTTTTTACGTAGTATAAATGAAACTATACATATATGGTAGTGTGTCCGTAGAGTAATGTATACACTCGTATTTGATAAAATCGTTATAAAGCAAGTAATAATAAATCGCTCGACAGGTAAATTTTTAAATACCTACATTTTTTATATTTGTTCATGGAAAAAAAATGTTTTTAATATATTTTAGTGAAAGTTATGAGATTGACAATTTTTTTAAATTACGAAAGAGCATATTTTTGTTTATGAAAATTTGTTAAGTTCAATAAAATTCTTGTGTTTCATAAACAAATTTTTCCCTTGCCCAGTATCTATAATTCTGACGATTCACTTCACCACTTAATTTGAAAGTCCATTCATCGGGGAAAATAATATTTTTTATCAGAAGAGGATCACCATTGCACATATTCATCATTCTTTCACATACTTGTATCCTCCGATCTGGAATATCATTACTTAGTTCTTGCACAAGCTGAATCATACAGGGATGCAATTTTTCTAATTTTAATACTGTATGTACTGACATTTCAATAACATCATAATCGCGACTAATTTGACGAACGCTAGTATGTGGATTTTCTTCAACAGCCAGTAAAATATTTAATTTTGTATCTTCGTCAAGACCTGGGCGACCTGTTTTTGAGTAAATGTTCCACTGTACCAGCCTCTCTAATTTTTTTTTCAATTTTACTCACTATCGATTGAGTTATGGGTCATTCTGGATATTTAGTATTAAATAAATTACATACTTCTTGTTGAACTCGTATCCTATCACCATACCCAATCATCGTAAGAATTTCAATGCGGAAAGTTTTCAACGTTATTATTGTTGCTAATGGCATTTTTTGCACATTTATCATTTCAAGGATACATCCTTTATGTTAATTATTTTCTGTAAATTTTAAGAACACATTAGGTTGATATCATTATGTATCATCAATATTATATTATATCTTATTATACAATTGTACAATTTGAAAATAAATAAGCTCGTTATTCCTTTTTCCATACTAATCCCCTTGCAATGAGAGCTCAAACTTAATTTCCCTCTAAACGAATTGACAATCAAAGTATGTTCATAACACGTCATGAAATATAAAAATTGTTCAGAAAAATTGTCACCCGCAGACAAATGAGTAGTAATGTGTTTATATATGTTGATTGACCTTTCTTTAAGAGTTAAGAGAAATGTTCCATACTTTTAACATAAAAAATCAAAAGATTCTAGTGTTATGTATATTGTTGCCAGATTCTGTACAGGGTGGGCAAATGTCGATGTTTTTATAGGATAACTCGGTAACTGTAAGATATACAAAAATATCTGATGTAGCCAGCACATAACTTTCTTGTACCAGTATATATCATCCCAATCTAAAAAAAATCATTCTATTTAATTCTTCATT